GGCGGATTCTTTTAAATGTTCCGATTGCGACTGTATCATTTCCTCCCAACTTTAGTGAGGTTTTTTTTGTGGCTAATCTAGAGAGACAAGATCTGGGGGACATCAAGAAATCTGCAATTGAAGAAGATCATCTTGCCTCTTTCAACAGGAAGCAATGTGGGAAGCGCATTCTACGGTGTCTTTCAAGTGGCTTAATGACGAAACGCGCGGAATATTTAAACGGCATCTGATACCCACTAAAGAATCGCAGCAAAAAGCCAATTTGTGAGCACTGGCACAGTGAAACAGCGACCTCGAGTTCTATGGAAATCAGTAATTACTTTTCTCTCCAAAACTACCGGGGAAAATAAAAAAAATCGGTAGATTTGATATACTGTACGTTAAAAACGCTGAAAAAGAAATTCGCCGTCAAACCTATTTTTAAATCAAAGCAACCACAATGTTTAAATCAAGTGTTTGTTTTCTCAACACAATATGATGGGTGCTTTTTTTTTTATAAAACCCTCATAACATCGCCGGGATTATAGCAAATTACATTGCTACGCTATCACCTCACATCTGGTCACATAACACTGATACCGCGGTACAGGTTTATGAAGAAAGTCAACAGAAACTTTCAGACTACGAAATGAAAACTCGAGCTAGTGTATTGACGTAACGGGTCGAAATTCCTGACCTTCCGAGCTTAAATAAAGGGAATGTCCATCGCATTGGCAGGCAATGTTTATAGTAATAAACATCTTATTGACCAGTGTTGATTTCGTCGTTATCTGTGAACTTGAGGGCGTCATCGTAAGAGCTCAAATGACAACTTGACCTGTTAGGGTCTCGTGTTGCGGAATTTCGCCCAGCAGATTGGTTCAAATCTGTTTGAATAGCCTTTGTATGAGCCAAAACCAATAAGGTGATTCAAAGAGCTGTCAAACTCTGAAGGTTCTCGTGAAAAAACGCTGATTTCCTGCCCCATGCACTCCTGCGGTTATAGACAACCGATACTGACTTAACTCTTACGAACTAACAGGGAATGCATTGAAGGAATTATCCTTCCCGGATTTTTCGTGACCCAAAGAAATTATCTTCAAGACTCGAGTACAGTGGCAGTTACGCAGTTCATTCACCGTTGATAAACTGCTTTTCTTCATTTATACGACGACATCCATACTTTAATCTGAGCGCGCACTTTTTACAGACGCGGTGAGTTCAAGGTTAGTGCTCGTCGCACGCATTGTTTCGCTTTTTGTCTGCATGAACACTACCTTTCCTCTTTGAAAATGTTGTCGTTTTTTCCTCCAATCCTGCCAAGTATGTAAGTAATCAGCGACTTCGGTAAATATAACCATGTTACAATATTTCTTTGTAGGTTTGGATTGTCAATAGCCATGCAACAAACAAGTCGCTATGACAGAGCGGCCAGCTTATCAACTACAGTGAACTACTAAATTCACAAGTGGGATAATGAACTGCTGGATAAGGCTTTAAGTCATGCGCTCATCTGAGTGATATATTCTTTTTTGCGACGACTACCGATCCCGCTAACCATAAATCTTTCCACAACGTTCGGGTGATTTAAAGTTTAGGGGAAAAGCGTGTAGCACTGTAGACAGAACAGAAAAACCAAGGTCATATTTTATTTTATTGGATAAAGTTCAGACTGCCTTTTGAGAGTTGTTTAGACTGCCTTTTTGGCAGAATGGAAGATTCCAAGCCGGAGATACATTCCGCAAGTCGGGCACATGATCGAGAAACCCAAACATCTTTTGATATGAGCCACATACCATCACATGGGACCTCTTCTAATGACGGCAGGAGAGCCCATGGTTACCACCCTTACAACCACAGGCATGGTCAGCAATTGCAGTGGAGTGCAAACCATGTTTTTCATTCATCAGGGTATCCTGAATACTACCCTTATGAACTGCGCTATACGCCTCATCACCACCCTCCCCCTGCTATCCCTGGTCCCCCACCTCATGGAAACCACTACTACCCTGGACGGGTGCCACACTGGCATAACTCCCCAAGCCCTGTGTTGCCATCTCATATATCCCCAGTGCCCCATCCGCATTCTTCGTATCACCATTATCCGTATCATCCCTCAGATGGATTTTATGCACATCCTCCACCGCTGCAAGGAGTTGCCCCTCCCATGCCAATTTCACGGGAAAGGAGACACACAGATTCGGAAATTGCACGTCCCAAAGCAGAATGGCCGCCTGGTTATCAGCCATTTGTAAAACCAATCATACCATCAGATTACTTGGCCTTTATCCATCGGAACCCAGGATCAGATTGCGGAGGACCACCATCCACTGCAACGTCGTCACTAAGATCAACAGTTATTGACCTTCCACATTCCAGTTTTCAGAGCCCACGGCCATCAGCAAGAATGACTAGAAAGCGACCACTATCTAGCACAGCCTCATCTGTGGAGTCCATTGACTTAAATGCATTAATAAGGGGCTCACCTGATTCACTTTCAGGGTACCTAGGGCCAACCAGAGTGTCTTCAGCAGGTTCTTTTGGTCATTTGAGCCCTATAGCATTTTGCACCTCCCCTGGCTCACGACAAGCTCGCTATCCCATTGCTAGAAATGTGCTGATTACGACTCCACCAATTGCCCCACCTCGAATACTTTCACCATCTTCCATGCAAGATGCCCTCCCGAGTTCGACGACTGGTGCAGAGGGGACAAAGGAGGAGACTCAGGAGAACACAAGTTGTGCAGAGTCTCCCAAAATGACCAACAATAAAGAACCAGAAAGTGCCAGTTGCAAAGAGGAGAGCATGGACATTTGTCCCTTAGACTCCACAACATCCCCTGGCGCTTCAGAAGTGAAGGTAGGAGCATAGTTATTGCTAGAAATATATGCTGCCTTCTAATTAATACTTGTGCTATTAATTTTGTTTACAAATACTGACAGGATCTGTGTCAGTTAAGGGGAACTTCCTAGGAATTGAATGGTGGGAGTCATGTTTGCTAAGAAGGGGGGGATTAAGGGGTGGTTCTTAAGGGGAGTGCAGCCCCCCCCCTCTTTTCTGCAGAATTTTGTATTATTTTTAGAGAATAACGAGTAACATACATATCCAATAACTGGCAAGTGTTTCTTCCCTTTCTGAATTTTCTGTATCTACCCCTGAAGTTCCCTTGTTACCTAAAACAAGTTGCTTCCTTGTTTCTTAGAAATGGTTCTTTGGACAAGTTCCCTTAAATCAACAGTCTCCCATTCCTGCAAAACTCAAAAGTTAGGAGGAAGTGTTTATTTCCATATTTCCACAAAACCAATGGAAGATCAATTGCAGCATCTTGCTTTGTTCAACAGGGTCTTTCTGTCAGAAAATCGATGCAGCACCATTTTCATATATGAATGCCACAGTTTTTACCAAAACAACTTCGCAATTTGCATTACAAACTTGGCAGTAAATAAATTATTATTTGAAAGCATTCAATAATTTTTTCAGGCAAAGTAACTATCTATCCAGCAATAAACACATATCGAGGTATTATTGGTAACTCCATTTTAATGTTTTGGTGACTTGCCTCCGGCAGATTACTTGTGAGGGGAGAGAAAGTGACAGCTGGAAATATTATATCTTTGTTTCAGTAAAGAATAGCTTGTTGCATTTCAAAAATGTTAAAAGATTTAAATTTAGCTTTGGGGTCATTTAAAAAGTAATAAGCAAGTGTGTTCTATTATTTCAACTTTTTTCAGTACTATAACATATGTTATTATTGTTTCATTCACAGCTTATCATGTCTTTAAAATTTATACCCTATAACCACTTTTTGGAGTTACCTTTAAAGCTTAAGGGAAACTGAAAAGTTATTTTAAGTTACATGTTTTGGTCATTTTGAAGCCCCCTGAACAAAAATAGAATTAATAAAATATTTTGTCTGGGACAAAATTATGATTCATAACTCTAGGTTATCAATGTCTAGGCAGATGACTTGTTAAGGCTATCAAAGTGAATGTTTTCAGTATGCAGATGGGTGCAAAAAAATAGCTGGATGTTTATTTTTTCCAACCTAGCCAAAACCCCTATACTATACAGCTGTAGTGATAAAGTGACATGCAAAATTTAATTTCTAATCTTCCCAGAACAGGACCGTTTTAAAAATAGAACATCTAAAGGGGAGAGAGTTAAACAGATATGGAAGTGCAAGATAAAATGTGCTCATCAACGGGCTATATTTTGTTGTCCGTGACTTAAGAAATGAATTAAATACTGTGTGTAGAAAATGCCTCTGGAAAATTAGTAGAAGCCAGAGAGTTAATTCTCATTTGGCCACTTTCCCATATGGAGGCCTCATATTTTATGAACGGACACACACTGCACGCACCCTTATTATTCTTACCGGGATAGAGCAAGTTAGTTCTAGAGTACTGTAACAGCCCATGTGTTTACTGAGAGATCTGGATTATACATTTGAGAACATTCCAAACATTGTTGAAACAATTGTGGGCAAACTCTCATGAACATCATCATCCTTCTGGTTACCTTTTGAAACCCACTGTAATTCAAATGGCATCCAGTGTAGTTAAACAGAGATTTTAAATGTTTAAAGTAATCAGTTACTAGTGGATTGGATCATTTTAATTAGCAATACAGTTTTCTATTGATGAACGTGCTGTTTATATAGACAAAGCAATTTAAATCTTTCTGCTATTTTTCTTTCCTTCTATTGTGACTGTGTTTTATTTGCCAAACATTTGGAGATTAGCACACCTTTGCTGCACTCCCAAAAGAGCAAACAAATAGTACTTATAACTGTGGTAATTGAAAATGGATTAAAAACAAAGGATAATCTAGGAAGTGATGTACAGGAAAGACATGTCAACAGAGACACTGGCGTCAGACTGAGTTTTACTGAGGCTATAATGTTTCACTGCCTTTTTTAATACTTCTTTTAAAATTCTTCAAGTTCTAGGAGGGGTAGCCTATTGCTCCTTGACCCATCATCAGCATCCAATTTCTCCTTGTAATATCAACGCTTTGTAAACAGAGTGGTCACGAGAATTAAGGACATGATCACACAACATACTGTACCGGTGTAATGAGTTGATACTTCAATAACTTCACCCCACCACTAATCCATAGAAACCCTATAGGGGTACCAAGAGAATTTCCATTTTCATATTTAGGCGCTGAAGGGTTAAATTATTCTTACTGTAGTTCCCTGCTGATGGCTTTTCTTAATTACCTCAGTTTGTGGTTTGAGACACAGCAGTTAAGCATTTTTGTGTTTGTTGCCTAAACAATGACATTCCTGGGTGGGGGAAGCTTATTTATGATTTTTAGTTTGCGTGGGTAGGTGTGTGCAAATGTGGCCCTGCTAAAACCCTTAGCCTACACCATGCAAATTTGGCTGCATTTTTGCATAACCCTATTCCAAAGTGAGTGTCATGATAATTTTTTCTTATCTTTATACCACTGATCTATTGCAGACTAGCTTATGTCTTTGAAAACCCCACCCTAAACAGCTCACATACCCATATAGCTTATACATATCCCTCCACTACACTGGCTTATAATGAGGGATTACTAATGTAGTTAATAAAGGCTAAGGTTAACTTTATAGCCATGTGGCCATCAGTGCAATCTGATTATCTACTGTAGATAAAGAATGTCCCATGCTAACAATAGTCTTTTTTTTGATAAGCTGCTATAGACAATGAATCCTCCACAGATTAAAAAAATTAATGTGACATACATTGTGTTGTAAGTAAAATTAAAGGTCATTAATCAGTGCCAGATCAGATTGAGACCTTGAGATAAAGGCGGGGGGGTGGGGGGCAGTCATCCAGACCCTTAGAAAAGTGGGGGGGGTCTCCAAAAAATTCAGTTTGGTCTAAAAATAAGGGGGGCCCTCCCCTGGATCCACCACTGTTAATAACAGATGTTTGTAGTTTAAACTCTGTGCATTAATCCTTTGAGAATTTAAGTACTGTTGTCAAATGAGAGAATTTGCTAAAAGATCAAATTAAAGCATTTTGTTTTTCAGGACAATTTATTTTCTCATAACCTTTTGTCTTGGTTATGGATTGATATTGTTAGGAGACCATTGACGTTGGTCACTCGGTGGACCTAAAGGGTTTTAAATTTATTAAGTAAACAGTGCAAAATCGTATTGATAAAATAGAAAAGGGGCAAAGGTTTACAGAACTTGCATTTGTACATTTTACAGCAGGAAGGCTCAGACAACGAGGCAGATGATAACCCCCCTGAGCAGGAAGAACAAGACCTCGTATGTCACTGGAAAGAGTGCTGTAATCAGTGTGAAACACAAGATGAGCTTGTTCGACATGTCAACAATGATCACATCAAGAAGGATCGCAAGGACTTTACCTGTTACTGGGAGGGCTGCACAAGGGAACGGAAACCCTTCAAAGCCCAGTACATGCTGGTTGTACATATGCGAAGGCACACTGGCGAAAAACCACATAAATGCAATGTAAGCTACATTATAATTATAATCAAATAGAGAAAGACAGCTTATGTTAACCAAAGAAAGTTTCAAAGTTAGTGAACAATACTCATAATAGACTAGTACTAGTTAGCATAAGGACAACTTCATTTATATGAGAAATTAACAGGAAGAGCTGTATCAATGAAAACAAGGAGTGCTCACCATTTGTATGGACATTTCGGTGAAAAATTTCTGTCAAATGGTACTGGTATTTTTTTTGGCACTGAAAACAGGAACGGGATTGAGTCCTACCATATACAAAATTTTTCACTTTCTCTGAACATGAAGCCTGGCACTGGTAATCCAAACAAATGGTACAGGAAATTTTGGTCATTTTGGTAAGAACGGGAAAAAGGTAATACCTCTAAAGGTATTACTTTTTTTCGGGAAAATTTCCACAGGGATGAACCATTTCATTTGAATTCTCCCCGGAATTTGCAAGTTTTCCATACAAATGGTAATTAAAGCACTCAAGGTCGACTCCAGCCTTGTTTCCCTCTATTCAATTCACTGTAACTGTAAAATAGGCTATTAACATAATTTCTTGGCATTTTAAGTATGCTTGCATGGTGATTAGGACTAAATATGTTACTTGTTAACTTTTATCATTTTAGATGTTCTTAAGTCAGTTTGAATTGTAGGGGTGGCGAATGGTACCTCGAAAAATGTGGGTCTCGGAAAATTTTGGCAGGATCTCGAAATCTCGGAAGCGTTTTTGACAAGTCTCGAAGTCTCGTTTTTTCATGGTTTGCTTTTACTTTTTTTGAGTCTCGAAACTTTTTCACCAAAGAGTCTCGGGCTCAGATTTCTAACTAGGATCTCGGCGTCTCAGCGAGTCTTGGATTTTACCATTCGCCACCGCTAATTGTTTATTTTGTGACTTGAAAACCATGTCATGGTGACATGGTAACATTGCATTGTAAACTTGTTTTGCCAACTTTTTTTTTAATATGTATCTTCATTTAATCTGAATCAATTAATATAATTTTTATTTCTTATTTGATTTTAGACTGTTCACAGTCCCGTATTTTTCTGTAAGATTGTCGAGAGCACTTACCTTAAAGGGGTGCCATCTTGGTTTGGAATGTACCAAGGAGCTAGGGGTCTGGGTTAATGGCTTGGGGGGAGGGAGGTGAGGAAAATAGAGCACCTGTCATCTCCTCCTAAACTATCCCTTACCCCCTAAGTAGATTTGATACTCATTCCCGAGAGGGGTAGGTGCTCTATCCCAACAGGCTATGAACAGTCTAATAATGATAAATCATCTACCTTTATAGTACGAGGGATGCTCAAAAGCCTACTCACGACTCGAGAACCTCAAGACTCATCTCCGGTCTCACACAGGAGAACGTCCTTATGTGTGTGAAGTGGAAGGCTGCAATAAGGCGTTCTCCAATGCATCCGACAGAGCTAAACACCAAAACCGGACCCACTCCTCAGTACACTGGCGAAAAACCACATAAATGCAATGTAAGCTACATTATAATTATAATCAAATAGAGAAAGACAGCTTATGTTAACCAAAGAAAGTTTCAAAGTTAGTGAACAATACTCATAATAGACTATCCTGAAAACAAAGACCCCCAAGACCACTAAGACCCCTTAAGACCTCCACCGAATGATTCTGAACTTTATCGATTAGGGTTAGGAAACTGAGTGAATCAAGTTCCATTTAAGTCATCATACTGGGCAAACACAGTCACCCAAAATTTGATTAACCCAGTTTCCTAACCCTAATCAATTAAAGTTCAGAGTCATTTGGTGGGGGTCTTTAAGGGGTCTTTGTTTTCAAGACACCCCTATCCTGCCTGCAGTTGTGGGCTTAGTACCCTGGCCTTTGAGTGAATGAGAGGCTGAGGTTGACCTTATTTTGATACAAACCTCCTTTGTTTTCTTAATATGGAAATTATGCTTGAAAATTAAAGTACTAGTTAGCATAAGGACAACTTCATTTATATGAGAAATTAACAGGAAGAGCTGTATCAATGAAAACAAAGAGTGCTGATCACCATTTGTATGGAAATTTCAGTGAAAAATTTCCATCAAATGGTACTGGTATTTTTTTTGGCACTGAAAACAGGAACGGGATTGAGTTGTACCATTTACAAAATACTCGTAAATTTTTCACTTTCTCTGAACATGAAGCCTGGCACTGGTAATCCAAACAAATGGTACAGAAAATTTTGGTCATTTTGGTAAGAACGGGAAAAAGGTAATATCTTGAAAGGTATTACTTTTTTCTGGAAAATTTCCACAGGGATGAACCATTTCATTTGAATTCTCCCCGGAATTTGCGAGTTTTCCATACAAATGGTAAGCGCTCAAGGTCGACTGCAGCCTTGTTTCCCTCTATTCAATTCACTATAACTGTAAAATAGGCTATTAACATAATTTCTTGGCATTTTAAGTATGCTTGCATGGTGATTAGGGCGAAATATGTTACTTGTTAACTTTTATCATTTTAGATGTTATTAAGTCAGTTTGAATTGTAGGGTTGGCGAATGGTACCTCGAAAAACGTGGGTCTCGGAAAATTTTTGGTAGGATCTCGAAATCTCGGAAGCGTTTTTGATAAGTCTTGAAGTCTCGTTTTTTCATGGTTTGCTTTTACTTTTTTTGAGTCTCGAAACTTTTTCACCAAAGAGTCTCGGGCTCAGATTTCTTACTAGGATCTCGGTGTCTCAGCGAGTCTTGGATTTTACCATTCGCCACCCCTAATTGTTTATTTTGTGACTTGAAAACCATGTCATGGTGACATGGTAACATTGCATTGGAAACTTGTTTTGCCAACTTTTTTTTTTAATATGTATCTTCATTTAATCTGAATCAATTAATATAATTTTTATTTCTTATTTGATTTTAGACTGTTCACAGTCCCCTATTTTTCTGTAAGATTGTCGAGAGCACTTACCTTAAAGGGGTGCCATCTTGGTTTGGAATGTACCAAGGAGCTAGGGGTCTGGGTTAATGGCGTTGGGGGAAGGGAGGTGAGGAAAATAGAGCACCTGTCATCTCCTCCTAAACTATCCCTTACCCCCTAAGTAGATTTGATACTCATTCCCTAGAAGGGTAGGTGCTCTATCCCAACAGGCTATGAACAGTCTAATAATGATAAATCATCTACCTTTATAGTACGAGGGATGCTCAAAAGCCTACTCACGACTTCTCTTGGAGTTCTGAGTAGAGGCCAGAGTGTGTCCTCTTGCAGGAATACACACACTTCACCTTCCGACGTTATTCCGCAAGAGGTTACGTAGGCTGTCTCGATTTGTGGTTTTGGCCTGGGTGAGGAGTCAGGTGAGTGCTAATAATAGTTTTGCCCCTCAGGTATCTTTTGTTGAACAATTCAAAGGGGTTATGTCACACTCAGTCTTAGCATCAAATTGTTAAAATCCAAAAATATAGGTCCATTTTTGTTTTTTAAGGGTACTTTCCATTTGTCAGAACTGACCGGCCAGACTCTTCCCTTCGTAATGAGACTTTCACTATTAATCAAAACTATCCAGCCAGATCAGTCAAATCCTAAACAGTGTGCAGGAAGGAGATGGTTCTTCAGCAAAAACCCTTGGAAAAAGCCGATTTCATTGTCAAAATAACCGGTCCGGTAATGGTCTTGCTGGCCAGTTCTGACAAATGGAAAACGCCCTAAGACTATATTTAGGCATTATTGAAACCATTTCCCATTTACCGTTGCAAAGGATGACAATAAAGGGCGTGGATTGAAACTTGATCAAAGGTTAGGCCAATGTTTTGAAGTTTCAATGCTATGTCACCAAATTTGTTTGATATCTTTGTAACTTTACAGGAGCATTAAATTTGGGTGTGGGTAAAACAAGGTACTGAGCAAAGATACACAAGCACAGAAATGACCTTTAAAACAGCAATTTCCTCATGACATAGCTCCTTTAAAATGCCAAGCTGCAGTAATGTGGTTCATGTACACTATTTTAATATAATTATTATAATAATTTCATACGCAATTTCATTAGCAATATAATGCTGTGGTACCTTATTACTTCAAATAGACCAAGGCCTGGTTGTTCAAAGTAGGATTAGCATGAAACTTTAACTAGGAATATTAAATTAGAAAATTTTTGTTGATTTTTTTGAAGTGAAGTTACTTTCTAAAGGGAAGCCAGTAACTCAAGCATTTTAAAAGATTATTTTTTGGCATGATTTGCAGGTTCCACAACATAGAACTATGGGGAGGGGAAGGGACAGGTACTTTGGCAATAAAATGGATGTTTCTTGCCCACTTACTTTCTGGCAAACAAAGTTGAAATCATTGGAAAAATGTTCTGCAGTATATGTTTCCTTATACCAAGAAAAGCCACTGAAGTGAAAGGCTTAATTTTGTCCAAAACGTCACAAGTGTCCTTAAGTTCGGAAGAAAGACAACTTCTAAAAACGTTAAAACCTTTCTTTTAGAAACCCTATGTCTGTAAAGTACCAGGCTGTCCGAAACGTTACACTGATCCCAGCTCTCTGAGAAAACACACCAAGACAGTGCATGGAGAACAGGCCATCAAAAAGGTATGTCAAGTTTGAGCAAATTTTGACTTCATTTAATGTTTAGTTTTACAGTGTTTCTTTATTAAATTTTGAGATCAATAGCGCTTGTTTTATCAACCTATTTTCGGTGTTGCAGTCAGCTGATAATAATATTGATTTTGTGTTGTTTTTATCTTGTTATAAACTTTTAAAAGTAAGGGGGTGGCCTTGGATGAACTTTAAGGCCCGGCTGTTCGACGTATGAATCAATTAGGAACGGCACTTTTGTATTTGGGTTGACTCTGCCATTCCATTCGACTGAGCTTGTAGAAGAGCGACTTTGATTCATACATCGAACTTCACGTGTGCCACATGAGAGTATCAAGGTTGATTTTTATCACAAGATGTAGCTACACATGTAACAGCAGCTGTGGCTATCAAATTCCTTCACCGTAACAGAAAATAACCTTTTATATTACGTTAACTTTATAATTTAATATCATGGTGTTTATAATTTAAAAATAGTTGTAACATAAACATTTTTGTGTTATTGTATCAAGTAACCAGTTAGTCTTATGTGGGAGCTCTGCTTTTTGGCTTGGCTAAATTTACCTTTTATTTCTCTCACAAATTAACCATCAAAATTCAGGTGCTAGCCTTGGTTATATGCAAGAGCGTTGGGGACTGAGCCCCCTTTTAAATAAACGTCATTATGGTGGCTCATACGCAATAAGTGTCGTGCACAGGATGTAGCTGAAGGCAACAGCTGCTAAAAATTTCTTCAGCTGTTATAGAATGTGCAGGTTAGATTTGCTTGATTGTCTGACTTACAACAACATTATAATTTTAATTTTAAACACAGCTTAAGGCAGAAGGAGGCAGAGAAAAGCCTTCTTCAAATCCTGACAAGAAAGGGAGTGTGCCTCCTGACAAAGGACAAGGCCCCACCATGGCCACTGTTACACAGAGTGCCCAATCACCATCCAGTGCTACAACTGATCAGCCTCAAGAACCTTCGTCCCCAGGCAGAGATGGATCCAGTGTGGTTGGCAGTGTTTATCAAGGTGGAAGTTGCTCCCAGACACTTGTAGGTAGCAGTTTTGATGGGGACACAGTTTCATCCAGTTGTGATAGAATTCCAGGAGGTCTGGATATTCCTTCAAGCCAAGGCAGTCCAAGAAGTGCTACTGGTCAGTCTACAATAGGCTTATCGCCAAGGAGTCCTCCATTTGTGAGCCAACTTCCTGACATTCTGGAAGGAGAATGGGAGTCAAATGATGGTGGTGCAGTCTCAACAGTGCAGTCGGTTGATATCAGACCACCACACCAGGGAGTCACTCTTCCAAAGCTTGATGTTCACAAAAGGGATGTGGCATCATGGGTGAACGATGTTCACCGCAGGATGAGTCAGTCATCACGCAGATCTAGTGAAGGAAGTCACTTATCAGTGGAATTGAATGGTGACTCCAGCAGGAGATCTAGCCAAGAAAGTGGTTGGTCCTCTTATGGGAGTCGCAGGTCCAGCCGCGCAAGCCCCTTTCCAAGCACCAGTATTCAACCCCAAGAGGTTATTCCTCATTATCCCAATGGAGCTGTTCTTCCATTGCCTCTACAGTGCAGGCCACCACACTTGAACTCACTAGACACCAGTGATGATGTCCTCCGACGAACTAGTGAGACTAGTACATGCAGTAACCAAAGTGCTCCATACAACAGGTTAAGCCGTAACAGCAGTGGTTATGGAAGTCAGTCAAATCTGGCAGTTATAAGAAGCCCTATGTTTCACAAAATCCTGCCTCCATCTAGTTTGTTACCACAGCGAACTGTGTGTGCTGATGCTGCAAGTAGGAGAAAAAGTGACACTGTCATTTGTGAGGCTGATAGCTCTGGAAGTTATCTCCAAAACAGTGGCAAAGGTGAGGTACGCCGTAGCAGTGAGCCTATTAGACAAGCAAGGGCAGCCCTGACTCGAATTGAACCTCCAACTGGTGCTAGTAACAGGGTAGCAGCAATACCAAATGTGAGTGAAACTGGACTGATGTATGGTGACTTGGATCCACAAGAATTTGATGCCTATTTAAATCCTCAAGAGGAGGGGCAGGTTGAATCAACTGTGCCATATCCGCTTCCACAACAGACACAAAGACTGTGTCACTTTCCGTATCCTGAAGAACATGCTACCCAGCCTCCACTGCCACACCCCCCTACATCACAGACTACAATCCATCATCGACCACAGCCGTTTACCCCACATCAACCAAATCCCTCAAACCATGGGCATCAAGGCAAGTTTGCGCCATCAGATGCCAATGGTGCTCCGGCCCCAAGGATTCCCCAGAGAGGGTACTGGCCTCTTCCTAGGTACAGATCTGGAGGACAGCAGCAAGCTCCCATGATGCAGAATGGCCTCAACCACACACCATCAGAAAGTGGCACTAGCCACATTCCAGTGGAACATTCAGGAGAGAAAAGCCAGTATGACATGATGAATTATGAAGATGCAATGGTTGCAGGGCTGGGTTTATTATCAACTGAAAATGGCGGGGTGTCAGAATTTGTTGGAAATAACAACATGGTGGTGAATGACATGAACACTTTGTTGAACTCTCTCCACGAGGAAGAAAGGTACCTCGAGTTATGTCAATCAAGAGGCGTCACAGGAAGTGCTATGTCTATTTTCTAAGTTACAATAATAATTATTTGAGATGTTTTTTACAGTCGTGTTCAGGGCAAATGACAAATGGCAAACATGAGTTTGTACCATGCAGGGTGCAAAGAAAATCATTTTTACAGCTTGCCATTCGGGCAAGCTGAAGCTAGCATTTACTAGCCCAGACATCATTTCAACTAGCCCCAAAAACCTTTTGACTAGCAGAATTGATTTTACAGTTCTTCTGTTATTCGAATTCCTCAAAAAACATCACTTGCCTGTCGGGCAAGTTAAAAACAGAATTCACTAGCCCAAGAGCAAAATCCACTAGCCCTGGGCCATCGGACCTACTTTCTTTGCATGCTGACCATGTGACCAAGTTTTCCTTTTACCTGTCATTACTGTTCCTTATAACTACATGGAAATCGGTAGATTCGCGCCAGTTCTACACTTAAGAAATAGGAAAATGAGCAGACAAAAACATTGTTTTGAGCTGTTTTCGTCTGCTCATTTCCTATTTTGAAAATTTCTGAACTTGAATCTCACGTTTGCCTTTTGCCATAAAATTATGTGACTCTAAATCTCTCTTACTATGTCATTGCTATGCTAAGGATGTTTCCTATTCTGTGATCATGTGAGCTGTCTCTTTCTAGTCAGTCTCAAGGGAAAGGTACATGTGCTTATGCCGGGGTGGGGAAATGGGACAAAAAAAAGGCATGTATTGGTGTTGTATTATTATTACAGTGCGACCACACGAACTGAGGCCACCCAGACAAAATTTTGACACAAATTTTGAAATTAGCCAACCACAAGTCGAGATCTAAACAATGAAATTGCTCATAATTGTACCTTTGTTCTAAAGGATATAAAAAATAAGGAATCGTTATGATACTTTGACATTGTCTTGGTTGGCCAGAATCAAAGCCAGCAGTAAAGAAAATTTGAACAATCTGAACTTAAGGTAACGGCTGCTCATTTCATGGCAAATGGCGCTCAGCACCCAAAGCGCCCAAATTTTGTTGTAGTCATGATTTATTGGTAACAGAACTTCCTGTCATTCAATTCGGTCTGTAATCATACTCGTGATTAAACAAATCAGATTCTCGCTATGTGGTCACCCAGTTTTGTTAATCACTCGTATGATTACAGACCGAATTGGAGTTCACTTAGTCCTATTACCATTATTAAGAGACTGATTAGAAAACCAGCTGCACTGTAGAGCCATTGCCATAGCTATTGAAACGTGTTTTTGCTAACTGATGACGATATTGTACAGTACAAAAAAATTCCATGCATAAATCACTGAACAACACAACTTAGTAAATTATTTTTAAGTAATTGTTGCTTCATTATTATATAAATAAATGATACATTAACATTGTAACTGAGTAGTTAAGAATGACAGTTTGCTAAGGTGATTTTATGTTGTGTTAGATCCAACCAAAGACTTAAAGTTGGTTATTAGACAGTGTTCTGTCAGTATTCAACACAACTGCCTTCTGAATGATTTGTCTCATTAATATTTGACTAAGCCCTCTTCTGTTGGCAGTTTCAAGAAGGTATATTTTAGTCCAGACTAGAAAACTTTTATGTGCTTTAAAGAACCTATGCATCCAGAAACAGATCTGGTGATCCAAATCTTTAATCCTTAATATTAAAAACAGAAGTCCACCTAATTTGTTCCATGCATTTTTTTGTAGAAGTGGTGGAAAGAATTTGGTAAAATGGGTTATTTTGAGGTGGTCTAAGTTACAGATTTAGTTTGAATAACAGTTACTACCCTATTAGAGGAAATTAACATGAATTTCAAACATTTGCATTAATTTAAGCGGAATGTTTGTAAAAGTCGTGTTAATTTCCTTTATTTTGAAATGTTGCGCTCTCTTTTGTAGTAATTTCCTTTACTTGAAAGTGGTTTTCCATATATTCACTATTCAAGCACGCAAATTCAAACTTTATTTTAATATTTTATTTGAAAGACATTTTAGTTTAAATCTGCATGAAAGGGCTGAACTGATAGTGTGATATGTTGTAGTTTTTAACCATGCAGTGTACAGTGTGAAAATGTGTACCAAAATGTAACGACATTATGACAAATCATTTTATAATATTATATTGTGGGACTAATTTTATGAAGTAAATTATACTACTAATAGTGCTGGAAGGTGCAGGTAATCAGGTTGACTGGCAAGGTAAAGCTTAAAAATTAGCATGTATAGTTTTTTATGCATATGTCAGTGCTTCGATTTGAAATTTCTAAACTTTGTAACAAAATGAAGACAACACTCAATAAAACTGATATTTTAAATTTATCAAGAAATGAGACCATTTTAGCTCCTGGTTTTAATGCATTTCCGTTCACGTTCAGAAGCAATGAAAAACAAAACCCTGGGTTGATAATATTAATCTTTTAAAAGCAATATATTATCAGATCAACTTACACTGTATTACGGGTAAAAGTTTGAATATGACAAACCAAAAATTCTTCAGTAAAAAAGCAAACCACAAGAGATTTTTTTAACAACATTAAAATTTTTATTTGCACACTTCAGGTAAAACATAATTTTTTAAGAACCATTTTGGTCTGAATAATAATTTAAAAATAAGTTAAATTGGAGTACAAAGCTTTGTCATGAATAAGTCACAGAGTGCCATTTATGTTATAATAACAATATTGTGACTAGGAAAGTTAACCTGCAAAATTCTCCTAGCATTTCTCATTAGAAAACAGATACATTTTATGGACATTTCACTTTAAAATTAAAGTACACAGTTTGTTGCCTTCCACGATTTGTTCTTGGGAAGATCTCAACTAAATCCTGTACATGTTCCATGGTATACTAACTTTAGTTTTTAGTTCCTCACACCCTTTCCTGTCCTGTTTCAGCATGCTACATTTTCAGGAGTGTAGCCTCTCCCCTTTCAGTGCAATGGAGACTCTTCATTACCAATTTCAATTCTGTCAAGACTGTTTGACAGCTTGGACTGTATTAATTTTGAACATAAGTCATTCCAAAACTTGCAGTCTGTTGTTCTCCAAGATTGTTCAAGTAATAAAAAGGGCCAGACTACTGCTTTACAGGGAGTTATGTTTAACATAAGAGAAATGAATCCAGAGAGGGGGCAATATTGTAAAATGTTATGCCACTTACACTTGAGAAGCTGTGACTTCAAACATAGAGGATCATTATATTACTATGTACATCACTGTCTTGTACTCAGTAACATTTTCATTCACACTTGAAAATTAAATCTGTACCAGTAGGTTGATGCCAGTGTCTTTGACATTTGTGAGCATTACAATTTCCTCAAGGGACTAGTGAGCGACTGTCAATTTTTCCTGAAAAATATGGAAAAGAAATAAACAATTCTGGGATCAATATTCAGAAGGGAAGAACATATCGGTTCCTCTCTTTTCACTCTTTCAATGCTGTTTTATCCCAATTTATAAAAAAAACAGAGTGGTGTTATACATGAACATAAGACAGTATTTTACAAAAATAAAAGTGTACTAAATAAAATTATTGCAACTATATTTGTATGCATGATCTGGGTTGAAAATTATATGAAAGCTGAAAGTCAAGAGAAGTTCTACCCTCTTACTACACTTAAAGTCTTCAAGGTGTTCACAAAATAATATCACCAGGTGTTTCAAATATTGTACGAAAATGAAGCCGTTCGCCCGACCATAGCCTAGCAACCTTTTGTGTTGAGAAAGAGATACAGGGGTAATTCCGTTGAATACAGGGATCAATATTCTTCATTAAAACTTTTACTCACACTCTAATAGCCACAATTGCAAATTGTAACACTGTAAAAGTTTTGCAAGGGTTACTTGCATGATTGAACAAACCTGTAAAAACAGATGGCTGATTTCGAAGCCAAGGAGTGTTTCTTCGAAAACCAAAGGAGCCATTGAAGCCATTTAGGGGAGGAATATTTTCCATGAACAAACCATGACCGCCAACTTGGCTAGTTGAGTGCCCTGAAAGAATAATAATGATAATATATAATTTAAACAATAATGATAAAATATTACTAACAATAATTTTGTTATTTACCCTCAGCAGTATTTATAGCACTGACGCTAGTGGGGCCCAGCAAATGTCTGGAACAAGTAATTAACAATATTATTGGACAAGGTTGAGCTAAATATCGTGATTTGTCCGTGGCAAGCAGATCAATTATTTGCCGAAGCCGAACGCTGAGGCAAATAATTGATCTGCAAGACACTGACAAATCACGATATTTTGTGATAACAGAGTTCAATAATTGTTTTATCACTCGATCACCGAGTTTGTTTTTTTAATGAATATCCTTAGGAAGTGAAGCGATCTGCCATTTTCACGCAAGAGTGATTGCAAGAAGGAGAAAAGCACGGTTTCCTTTACGCATGAACAGAATATTATTTGCAGCCAAACACAGTTGGACGGCATTGCGCATGAGGAGACCATTATTTGTAGGCAGTTATTTGCAGGTCACGTGGTGGGCTCTCGGCCAATGAAAAGAAAGAAAAATTTGCTTTGAATGGTAATCTAACTTAAACTTAATGGGGTTAAGAATACCAACTGGCCACAGGCAAACCAGTTGGCTATTTGCAAGCATGTCCAAGCCGGGCTGTCATTAAGAGGT